TATATATACATACAGGATGCTAAATTTCAAACAGGCCGAATATTTTAATAACTAAATGAAATATCGAGATTCGGTTTTGTTTAATTTGTATTGTTTCGAGGTGGACAAATTTTAATAAAAAGAATTTGACTTTGGATCGGTGCGACAAAAAAAACCGGACCTCGATATTGCATTTAGTTATCGAGATATTCGGCCTGTTACGTTTGAAATTTAGCATCCTGTATATATATAATATAACAGATGTATCTTTATCAAATGTTTGGAATCGTTAATTTTTATCATACTACAAAAATGTCTGATATATAATTAAAACCTATTAAGATATATAATAATTAAAGAAATGTACAATTCTATATAAAACCATGACACATATATAAAACGCAAATACATTTATATAAAACTGTGATATGCATTATCATTTGTTTTATATAAATAGATATGCAATTAATAATTCTGTTTTTTATAAGTATATATGTATTTTATACAAAGAATATCTCTAATTTAATATTGGTTGAATGTCTTTGCTTGTTGTAAAGATTGATAGTTTAATTTTCAGTTGTCTTAGAATAATAGCGTAAACTTTTTTTTGGCTTTGTCATTTAAATTCAAATTTCTTTTTGTTACATGTGTTAGTGTTATTCTATATTTGCGTTGGGCTTCTTCTCTCTAGTCTTTTTCTACTTTAATCATTTCTTATCTTTGTATGCTTAATCTTTTTTTATAATAAAGTAATTAAAATAAATTAGAATTATACTATATTATATATAAAATACTATATTTCAATAATAATATTAAAGTATATGAAAAACCGACGTATATTATGCAATAAACATAATACAATCATAAACATGTGTTAAAATTTTATCTTATCATTACTTAGAAAATAGCTTTAAATCGATACTTAAATTGTTACTTTTTTCTTTTTCTATATTACATATACATTTATTTATAATTGTAAAAAAGATATGTGAACATTGATGTACAAATATATATTACACATTTGCACAAATAGTTATATTTATATCCTCTTCAAATTCAATGCTCAAACCAATTTCTAAATATTTGTCAATTTCAACCATATGGCTCCTATTTTTGGAATCACAGAAGTCCAAAAGATCTATATATAACTAAATATTAAGAGCATATATAAATTATTTTTGAACAATGTGATATTATAAATGTGCTCAATGTATAGAAATATATTCTAACAATTTATTTGAGAACATACAATGTGTAAAAAATTAATAAAACTAGTAATTTGAGATAATTATATTTAAAAATTTAACATTATATGTATTTAAAAGATGTACAGTATATACAGAATGTATATATGAATAATATAATAATAACTCTATATTTGTGTATAAAATATATGTATTAGAAATATAATCATTTATTGTGTATTGAAATAAAAATTGAAAAAACCTACCCTAATCTAAGAAATAAAAAAAAGGGAAACTGTCCTCACACATTTTTCCTCCTCGATGGTATCTCTACCTTAACGAAGGCATTTGCCGGGTGAGGAGGTTTGCGTACTCTAATGAACCTGAGAGCTATGCCGGCGGTAACATATGTGTTTTCGAGTGAAGTAAGTTTGATCGCTCTGAGACTAATTAATGAATAAAATTCATAAAATTGTCTTGAATTCTAGGGCTTGGATTATTAGATTAATCAATGCAAAATATTTCGAATAAGCCTTTGATTGATTAATTAGAGCAAAAAATCTTGTGTTTTGAAGCCAAAATAGCAGGATGTATTTTATATTATCAATATTATTGATGTATTATATCTATATTAATCAAATTCACACAAAATCCATTTTCGGTCAAACATATGTTCATGGCAAATCTGCTTTAATAGCTCTCCAAGCGATCAAACTTGCTCGACTCAAAAACGCTATTAGTTACCGGTAGGGTCACCTATATGCCGGACAGGTCGAAGGAGAAGGGTCAGACTAAGTGGGATACTGTAGTTATATTTTTTATATTAATATTTTTAAATAAAATAAAAAAAGACAATAATAGAGAAAAGGGAGTTTTAATCGTTTTTTAAATTAATATCGTATAAATACATATCTAAATGTCCTGAGAAAAGTATTATTTTCGCATTTCCGGCCTTTTAATTAAAATTCTGAGTGAAATTCCACAAGATAGAAAACACACTCTTAACATTTTATACGCTAAAAAAACAATATTGCATAAAACACCGCGATTTTTGGCAGTTTATGATATTTTACAAAAATCTGACAGCTGATAGTATCACC